AGTAATGATTCGAAACATGGTCTGCTGAAGTGAAGCTGTGTTTTGATGCTCTGGGCAATGCTCTTTGCTGTCAAGTTAGATGGGTTAGACGAACTCAAGAAAACAGCTGCAGAGAAAATGTGGCACCAAGCACCCGCTTGTCTATTTCATGTCTAAGCTTGTCTAAGCGTTTCAAGAATCGTTGTTTTCTAATCGCCCGCATCGCGCTTCGAAGCACCTTCATAATTTTGATGTTCTGCATGAATTGAGCAAGTCGATCTGGAACGTGGATCTATGGATAGCAAGGTACACAACAAAAGCGTAACTTTATGTGGCACAACTGCGACCGCGTTTCGATCGATCAGCAGAGTACTGAGCAAAATTGATTCAAATATGATTTATGTCGTCTCTGATTTGAACTGAACACTGCGCGATATTTCGAACATGGCTAGCTTGTTGAACCCTTGGCCTGAAAATACTGAATAAGCCGCCGAGTTCACTGTGCATTTTATTGTCAGTGGCTGGCTTTGTCGTATATACGTGTTGCATGGGATAGAGGTCAAAATATTAAAACTAGTTTGCTACCGTATCGTTGACATACTGTGCTAATGTTTAGCCAGCTATAAGATGTGTCACTACAAAAGCACCCGTAAAAGGTGCGCATCAGACGCACGGAGACAGGTCTCGCATGTTCTGTCGTGACCACACCAGAACACTACACGCTCTCATTTGGTCGCAGGCCAAGAACCTGCTACCGGTTTCGCCTATTTCGACTAGTTGTACCGAGGCACAGTGAGGTGAAGTCTAAGTTCAGAACACGGAGAGAAATTTGCACGGGAACCTGAACCTGACATCCCTAGAGTGCAACGTGCACCGTCAAGTCCTTGCTCCCTACGTCAACGCTTGATCGCATTAGCCGATCTTTGACGTGAAGTCTGCGAGTGCCAAGGCTGCGAAACCAACCTTGCTCTGACCTCGTCGCTGTTTACATTATCTGGGGTTCAACTACTTCAACAATTCGCACTGCCTACCGTTGCTGTTTCGGTATTCACGACGATCGAACAATTTCCTGTAGAAGTTTCATCGCTTTCTGGCTATGAGCTGGCACGAAACGTCAATGCTTCGCTGCCAAAACAAGACGGTGTCTGTTGTGCTTGCTCAGATCATGGCTCTGAGCCGTTTGGACGATTTCAATTTCAGATTTGCTTACGAAGATGCACCATGAAAGTATGTGAAAGTGCGCCAATTTACACTACCATCGCTTGCTGAATCAGTAGGTTCACGCCGCCTGACGGAAATTCACCGCTGTCGCTCTACGGTCATTGAAAATAAGTCTGATCGCTTTTCTCCCTTTCATTCAATTAATGGCACTAATTTCGGGTCTTTCTGAACTGCAGGATGCTGTGGTGGAAATGAGTGGTGGATCGAACTCAAGGGATCTAAGAAAAACAGTAATAAGAGCTGCTAAACGGTCTGTTTCATGAAAAGTACCGGGTCAAGACTTCCATTGTCAACAGCCGATCAAAGAACAACCACTGAGAGTCAGCTGATCACAAGTGTTCACACTGTTAACTACATGGGAATTCCTTTACACGATCGTTTAGATCCGTCTGATCAGGTATTTGATGAATAGCAAAATTCACAGAGGTTCGTTCTACCCACTGAAGTACTACCTTCGACCGAGATCAGCTGTCTCCGTCGTTGGCCGCCTGACACCGCTGTATACCTACATCAGTCCAGTGATATTCGCTGACCTAGAAGGAAAAGATTTTCTCACCCTGCGTCGAGCTGTCCTACGTTTCGCCAATCAGAAGGATCCACTTGTGAAACAGCAAAAACACGGTTCATTTGAAGACAACGCAAAAGAATATATATGGTCAGTCAGATGATTGATCTGTACCGACGTTTCAGCCCGCGTTTCATGGGCCTTCTTCAAGATCTACTGATTTTGGGAGTCCTTCTGTCGTTACAACGGGTGATACGTATTGCCCCAGAAGGTCAGCCTTTGGTCCGTGCAGCTGGTTAAGCAGTTTTTCATAGCGGCAGTGGCAACAAGGCTAATTCAGCAAATTGTGCAGCACTCGGCACAAAAAGAACACGCTCCCAATGGTCAGAGTGTACCGGCATCACCACAGAAAGACACTGGCTGAACAGGCCGGTGGGGGCGGCATTAATCATCCAGTCCTGCGATATCGCTAACCGTGACCAAGGTTGTGAACTCTACGCAGATTGGATGAGCCTTGTCACCCTTGTCGCCACAAAACTACG